CCACGGTGTCCCGGGACCGTGGCCCAGCGCTGGGTCACACCTCCTGCGCCCAGCTCTGGCTGTGGAGCTGGGGGTGGCCGGGGCTGGCAGAGCCTGACAGCCCCCTGCTTTTGGCAGGTACCCGCATCATCTACGACCACAAGTTCCTGCTGGAGTGCAAGAGTTCACCCGTGGCCAGGACCCCTCCCTGCTGCCTGCCCCAGACCCCCGGTGCCACATCCCTGGCCCAGTCCAGCCTCGTCAAGCTGGAGGAGCTCAAGGAGCGGAATGAGAGCGAAGAAGCCGTGCCAGGTGAGCTGGGCCCACAGCCTATCACTGCCTGGGGCTCCTGCCTGGCCCCAGAGGCGAGGGGAGGTCCCAGTTCAGCCCTGGTTCCAGCTCTTGCTGCTTTCTGCCTGCACATTTCTCTCAAGGCACCCCTGTTCTAACCCTGGCCCTGTATCCCTCTGTACCGTTGCAGATCAAGACCAGTTTGAGATGGACATCTGAGTTTCCAGCTCCCGGTCTCCAGGCCATGGCTGGGCCTGTTCCTGGGCCTCGTGGAGGTGCTGGCACCGTGACCAGCTGGCTGCAGCACTCTCTGATGCTGGGGATGGATGTGTGACACTTCAGGCTCTAGCACAACTGGCTGGTGCAATTGCCTAGGAGCTCATGCTTGATCAATAAACACCGTGAAACCCCTGTGCTGACCCAGTGCATCTCTGTGTTGGGGCTCAGCTTGCGTCCTCAGAGCCCTAGGGAGGGGAGCTGAAGAGGAGGCGAGAAGCACCAGGAACCCTTTGAGGGTGCCAAGGATCTCTGCCTCCTCCATCAAGGTCCTGCAGCCTGGGGGTAGTGAGCACTGGGCCCCAGGGGCTGCTCCCAGGCTTGGGGTGCCACATGCAGAGTCTGCATCCTGTCCAGGGTGGGTGTCACCATCGTTAGCACTGTAATGTTTGTCCCTGGGTCTCCCTGTTCCCCAAGGCCACCCAGGTGTCTTGGGTCCCAAACTTGCGAGGGGCAGGGAGCCCAGATGGGAGCATGGGCTGTAGCTGCAGCACAAGCCCTGGCCACACCAGGCTGTTCTAGTCCCCAGCCAGCCTAGAGCGCTGTGAGTACTGTTGTCTTCTGCAGAAGCTGGGCTATGTGCCTGCTGCTATGGGTCCCCAACACTGCCATGTCTTGTGGGCTGGGAGTACCCTGCCATAGCTGAAGCCCCTTCACCAAGCCATGGATTTACCCAGCAGTCCCACCTCCTGCTGCTCCTGGGAGAGAACCAGGACTTCTCTGGTGCCAGAACCCCGGGGCAGATTAGTGCCGTTTATTAAACATAATGTAGTGAATCGTCACTAAAATGTTGCAATGATTAAAATCCCCTTGTCCTGGGTAAGGATTGGGAGGCAGGGGAGGTGCCCCTTGGGCAGCTGGGACCCCTCTCCTGCGGTGGCACTGGGCACAGGCTGCCCTGCTCCTCACAGTCCGCAGCCCCATCCCTGCCATCAGGGCTCCTCCTGGCCAGGCTCAGCCTCAGGCTCAGCACCGCCGTCTGTGTCACTGTCCGCTGTGGG